ATGTGGTCACACATATGGTCATACATGTGGTTCACAGTGTAAAGAATGGTGGCCAAGAAGAGACAGCCCAGCTCCCATTTCACTCCCTGCCAGGCTAAGCTGCAAGCCCCTTGCCCCATGGGGGGACTCTTCCAGGTCTGGAGGAATGGCTTGTGTTAACCTTCCCCCTCTGACTTTCTCTAACACTTACAGTTACTGCAGGCTCTCCTGGCCATTGTTTGCTTATAGAAGATATTGGACTTTACATTATCATTCATGTTCTTTGTCAATGTGTGCATTCTTCCACAATTCCACCTTTTGATTTTGGCCTTGTTGTTTTTAAGATTTAGCCAGATGGGTGCGCTTGACTTTGTTTCACTCATCTGTCCACTTTTTCTGCTTGATTACATAGTACTGTGTAAGCATACTGAATATACTGTAATGTGTGTATCTACCAGTGCTACTGTGGATGTATCCGATGGCTCACTATCTGCGGTTTCCTCTCATTAAGTAATACTGATGTGGACTTTTTTGTGTAAATATGTAAGAATTTCTTAGAGTCATATGCGAAGGGCTAGAATTATGAACCTGAGAGTATGCATGTGTATTCACCTTTGACGAGAATTCCCTATAAGTGGCTGTATCCCATAAATTTCCACAAAGATGACTTTCTCTCTAACCTTATGTTGTGTGACTTCTAGAGAGTGTTTGGTTTTGGTTTTAGTTTTTCCCAAACTTGAGGTGTGTGAAATAGTATCTCATGTTTGTGATTTACAATTTAAAAATTAGATTTGTCCTATTTTCATATTTAAGGGCCATTTGTGTTAATTTTACTATGAAAGTACTATCTTTTGTCCATTTTTTTGAGGGTTGTTATTTTTTTTATTGATTCATAGACATATTTTATATATTTGAGATACTGATTCTTGGACAAATATTAAAATTTTTCCTACTTTTCCTACATTGTGACTTTTAAAAATTATTATTATTGCTGGTTTTGATTCATGGTAGCCTAATAGGTTAGAAATTTATTTTCAATTTCATTTCATTCCCTTACCATTTACTCTGTTAGAAAATACGCCTTGAGATTTTACTCTTTGACAGACACTGCTTTGGGTATTAGAGATACAACAGTGAATAGAGTCAGGACCATGAGCTTCCACGTTCATGTAGAGAACAGGTGAGAAGTAGCTGGGTGAGGGAAAGTTAGCATGAATGCCTCAAAGAGAAATGAAGAAGGGTACAGTGAAGTCATTCATTCCTGAGACAAAAGTGGAGAGGGCAGGAGCAGTTGTTAGACTTGTTGGCAGGGTGGTCTCTTCAAGAAAGAGGTTTCTGAGCTGCCTGAGACATGGGGAGGAACCTTCCAGGCAGAAGAAAGGACAAAGGCCCAGGCAAGGTGTCTGCTCAGAATGTTCAGGGAATCCGTGTCCCTGCTCTTGGCATTGTGGAAAGAAGAGGTGCAGGAGGTGAGGACAGGAGACTGGAGTGCAGCTCAGGGGCTTCAGGTCTTTAATGAAGACTTTGGATCTTAACCCTCAAGAAGTGGGAATGGGAGAAAGATTTTAGACAGAAAATACATAGTTCCATGATATTGATTACTTTCTTCAATGTCAGACATTCTTACCTTACTTTTCCAAATTCTTTCTACCCCATTAGTTTAAATTCACTGTCCCCAAAAGATATTATTTGACTTTTGGGATTATAGTTGTCAGTTTGGTCCTTTATAGATAGTTCTTCAAAAGATCACAGTGCTTAAGGCAATGATTGTATGAAACCCAATGTGAATGGAGTGGTGCGTAAAAACACAATGTGAATGGACAGGTGCATTAAAATACAGTGTATACAAGCAAAACACAATGTTTACGAATTTTGTATGCAAACCAATATAAAATAAAAATATTTTTAAGAAAACAAAAATAATTTAAAAAGTGACACTGAGGAAGCTAAAGAAAGTGGTGGAAAACCAACAGGTGATGGAAGGTAGCCCCGTGGGTCAGTGGTCAGACCACAAACGCAGAGCCAAACCGCCCCGGTACAGCGCTCAGCTTTCCTACCCTGGCTGTAACCATGAGCAGCACCTGGTACTCCAGTTTCCTCACTTGTAAAATGAGAATAATAGCCATTGCTGTGAACTCTACAAATAATAATATTTTACACAAAGAAAAGGGCCTGGTACATACATGCTGAGAACTCAGGGTGCCTTCAAGGCCTCATTTCCATCTCACCTCCTTCAAGGATCTGCTTACTATTCCACCTCAAATTGATTTTACATTCTCTGAATTATTACTGTACTTGTAATCTGTACCATGTATTTTAGTGTATAATCAATGTTTCTTCAAATAAATTGTAGGTGCCTAGAGAACTGACTCCTGAGAAACTAGGAAATATTGAACCTTTAGTAGGAGTTGCTTATGTATAGACTCATTTCTAACCCTGCAAAATCCACTTTTGTTTTTATTTTATCAAGGACGAAGGTTCATTAAATATTCTCTGTGCCAGCTTTTAAGGGTTGTTGTTGCTGTTAGGTGCAGTTAAGTTGTTAGGGGTTTTTTTGTTTGTTTGGTTTGGGTTTTTTTTTAGGGTTTCCAGTCATTCATTGTTGCACTTTTCTCCCTGCCCACCCCCTTACCCCCAATTCACTTTTCTCCTTGATAAGTAAAAGAAAGATTCTTTCATTGTTATGCAATCCCTTCCCCCAAGTCCACTGCACTGTACAGCCTTCATTCTGGACTCCTGTCATGACAATAATACCTAATCACATATCCCTTTTAAACAGTTCTTTCCCTCATCTGTTGCAATGCAGTTTTTAACACAATTCATAGCAACCCTACAAACAGCCAACCTGAAACGTGTCCCATCCTCATCATCTCTGAGACACTGTCAAAGTCACCGTGTCAATCCATCTCTTCCTCTCCTTCACTGACCCTTTATCTTTCCAAGGACGATGTCCCTTAGCAAGGAATAGCCTCACCTAGCTACATGTCCAAAGTATGAAAGACAAAGCTTTAGCATCCTTGCCGCCAAGGAACACTCTGGCTACACCCTTTCCAGGACATATCTGTTGTTCTTTTGGCAGCCCATGGGATATTCAGTACTCTTCTCTAGCCCTGCAACTCAAAGGCATCAATTCTTCTTCTGTCATCCTTATTCATTGTCCAACTCTCTGACACATAGCAGGTGATTGAGAAGACTATGACCTGAATCAGTTGCATGTTGGTCTTCAAACTGACATCCTTGCTCTTCAGTATTTTGGAGAGGTCTCTGACAGTAGACTTGCCCAGTGTAGTAGGAATTTTGAAAATTGTTAAGAGAATACCATTTCAATCATATAAACAACAGATATAAACCTGTTCTGCCCATCCTCACGTTCTCTCATACCAATCAGTCTTGTTGAAATTAACAAAATAACTGTCTAAAGGGAAAAAGCTGGAGACATATCAAACTTGGTTTCAGAACTTATCACAAAGCCATGTGTTAACACAGAATAGACATGTACGTGAATAAGATAGAAATAAGATTGAAAGCAGAAATGTGCCCACACATAGATGACAAATAGAGTGAATTCACTAAATTCAATGGGAAAAGGGTAATTTTTATTGTTTTGGTTTTTGCAGTCACTGTTTACAAAATAAACATTGACTCTTTATAACTTATATACAATTTAATTTGAAGATAAAACTATAAAAACTATAATATAAAACTTCTAGAAGGAGAAAATTTTAGTGACCTTGAGGTCACAGATCTTAAAAGGACATTAATAGTTCAAATCATAAAAGATAAAGATGGTCATTTAGACCTTATCAAATGTCAAAATTTTTACCCATTAAAATAGTGTTAAGAAAATAAAAAGCCAGGCCAAAGAGTTAAGAGGAAATATTTTCAAAACATATTCTATGAAGGATGTAGAAAATATAAAAGGAATCTTTGTTGTTCTTGTTAGGTGCCGTCTAGTAGAGTATAACTCACGGCGACCCTGTGAACAACAGATCAGAGCCCAGGCCTAATCTGTGCAGTCCTTGTCATGTCTGATGTACCTGAGCCCATTACTGTGTCGGTCCATCTCACTGAGGGTCTTCGTTTCCTTTGCTGTCCCTCCACCTTCCCAAGCATGATGGTCCTTTCCAAGGAATAGCCTCTCCTAAGCAGTATGTCCAAAGTATTTAAGATAAAGCTTCACTACCCTTGCCTCCTATGAGTGCTCTGGCTGCAATTTTCCCAAGATACATTGTGTCTTTTGGTTGTCCTACTGTATTCTCCAATACCACAGCTCAAAGGCATCGATTCTTCTTCTGTTATCCTTATTCACTGTCCAGTTCTCAGATGCATAGTAGATGATTGAGAAGACCGTGGCCCAAATCAGGCACAGAATCCTAACAAACCAATAAATAAATAAAAATCCAATAAGACAAAAGACAAACTATTTAAAGAAATATCTTTCAAGAGAAATAAAAGTATGTCTAGAAAATCAAAGTAGATGACTAGATAAGTACTTGTGCGTGAATGTTCATAACTTTATTCATGTTCATATTAGTTAAAAAGACACCCTAGAAACAAGCTGAATGTCCATTGCACAGATAGTTGTTAATCTAATAATGGTATCTGTTCTATGGGATGCTGATAAAAATGGAAACACTACTGACACATTGAATGATATGTATAAAAACTCTAAAGCGTAACACTGAATCAAAGGGACAAAATGTGAAAGACTACATACATCATGGAAGTCCTTTTATAAATTATAAACTTTTATAAATTATAGTTTCAAGATGTGGATAAGTGATCTTCAAGGGGAGGGGAAGAATTGACTATCAGTGGCTCAAAAGAACCTTTATCAATGGCTCGAAAGAACCTTTTAGTGATAACGTTTTGTATCTTCAACATGACTGACTTTTTGTGACTACATGTTAATGAAAACTGATGAAACTGAACACTTAACCTGAGTGAAGTTTACTTGTATGTGAACGAACAGTCTTTACGTACATCCCACCGAATAAATACTATTTTCTTGCTCTTTTTCAGACAGAAACAACCTCCACCAGTCAAGAAACCCTCAAAAGCATTTTATCATGGACATAGAAGATGAAGAAAATATGAGTAAGATCTAGGTCTATCACCTAGTATCAAAAATAGCTAATTTTGTCATAAAATCTTAGTATTTTTATAAATTTACTTAATGAGACCAGTTGACATTTCCATTGATATGGACTATTAACAGTGGCCTAGTTTTGCTGTGTAATGCACCCTCTACAATTGGTGTCACTATCTAGTATAACTACTTCTCAGGTGCACACATGGATTTTCTGCCCCTGTTACTGTTTCTTTTCACACTTGGAAGGTCAGCCTGCCCACCAAGAGGCCACTCCCAGAATGGTTTTATGCTGAGTCATGCCATTGTATCACATATTACTGTGATGTATGTCATATGTTGTATGACACATTACTGTGACGGCCTGGTATTTCCCCCTTTTGAAAATCTGTGACAACCTTTCAGATTGATTTGTATACCTAGTCATTTGGTTTAACAATCTACAAATATTTTTCTTTCACTACAGTTGATACTCTGCATTCCGAGGAACAGGCTCACCCAGGTCTCTTAGACCTTCTATTTCCAAAGACATTAATGAGCTTTAAAGGTAGTGTGGACCCAAACTTTTCCTTAGACCCCTAGTCTCACTGTGCTTACTTCCTTACAGCAGATAGAGAGCCTTAGGAGCACCCCAGCTTTTCCTTACCCTATAAACAGTACAATGGATGTACTATTTTATCTTTAATCTCAGAGAGCAGTGCTTTTAAATAAAGTTCTGAATGTTCCAACAAAATCTGGAGATGTTTGGTAGAGAAATCACAGTGAAAATACTATCTTTCTAACTAATAAGCGTGTGTATTTACATTCTTTCTGATTTGTCTGAAGGAAGAACATGCATCCCTGAATGATGAGTACATGCTCAGAGTGACCATTGGTCACTAGGACGTATTGAGTGCATTTCTCTGTGGCTGCATCCACAAGGAGCTCTGGTGGTACATTGGTTGAGCAATTGACTGCCAACTGAAAGGTTGGCAGTTTGACAGCCTCCCTCCCACCCCCGGCCCCTCATCCACTCCAGTGGTCCCGCAGGAGAAAGATGTGACATTCTGCTCCCATAAATAGACTACAGCCAAGAAAATCCTGAGGCAGAGCTCCTCTGTCATTTGGGGTCTTTTGAGTCAAAATCAACCCAACGACACCTAAGAATAAGAACATGTACACAGCTGACCACTGGAGACCTTGGAACTGCCCTAGTCTCTCACACATAATCCAGATGATGACCCAGTGAACAGCTTCTGCATGTTATCACGGCTACGGTGGTTCTTCTGTAGGTCTTGGGCCTTTGTCACATGACCCATGCACAGAGCATCTTTGCATGGTGGCATCAGTAGCCATGGGGAAGGGTTTCCAGTGCTGCCCTGGAGCCGTGTGAGCAGCACACCACCTCCCTTCTGCCAACCTGTGCTTTGGGCTGCCCATCTTTTTCCAGCTTAGTTTCATCAGGGGATCCTACAGTTCAGAGCTCTTAAAACACAGCCTTGTGTTTTACTGCTCAGTCCCACTTTCAGTCTCCAGATTTGCCTCCATTTCGGAGAGCAAGAGTTGGCTCACACTCCTCCCTTTAGAGACCCCACCAGAGCTGTGCAGCTGCTGGCTGGGCCCTCCAAGCATCCTTCTAGTCTCGACCCAGCAAGCACCTGGCCCAGACAGCACCTCCCTGTTGTCTAAGTTACATAACCTGATCGTTTTGTCAGTGAGCAGCTTTTTCTTCCCAAAACTGATTCTGTGATAACAGTCCAAAATAAGCACTCCTTCTGAAGGACTTTTCTGGAAAGATAAGATGCTGGCTTTGGTGCTCGCTCTTTGAAAGGCCAGTCCTATATTTTCTATTACGTTGAAAGTATTGGGAAATTTTATCATGATTAATATCTGTTATTGTTGTTGTGTGCCATTGAGTCAAAACTGACCCATAGCTGACCCTACAGAGAGTTTTCAGAAGCAGTAAATTGCATTGGTGAAGATTAATATCTACAGTTATAAAATATAAAATCACAATATATAATAGCATCTGTTTAAAGGGGGTGGGGATCAGGGTTATATTCCTCCAATTTTAATTTTCCTTTCTATAGTGTGTTTTTAATAAGGAGAGAGATGAGCAGCATTTCTGTTGCTTCTGAAGTAAATAATTTAGAATTACATAAACTGTTATACGGAAAATGTGCTTTTTAATAACTTCAGAATATCGGTTTTTCTAACACTGATTATGTTTATTTCTGAGAGGAAAGCTTTCATTTTCTTCCAGTGGTTTTACATATTTGATTAAATGTATGTCAGAATACATTTATGATGATTTGATTTTCTGTATTTGATCAAGAATTCTGTTTAGCCACAAAATTAAAATGTAAGCAATAACCTAGCATGTAATGTTCTTGCTCAGTTTATTAACCTCTGAATCACTTCTTAGCTCCACTTTTTTTCACCTCTTGTTTTCCTTGAGCACCGAAAGGAGTAACCTATCGAGCTTTTGCTGGAGGATGTTATAAATGAAAATTTAGTGACCATTCCGTCAGCTTTGTTAACTGGGACAAGTGGTGTGTGTGTGTCAGGGATGTTCTAGAGAGGCAGGAGTTTACACTCTCCTAATCTCCCACAGGGCAGTCTCTGTTTCCCTTTGGGGTGATGTGTGAGCAGGACTGTTGGAAATTGTCCCAGTGAGGGACCCCACCACCCCACAAGTTAGAGTGTTCACCAGCTGGTGGCTGACCTTCATCCCTAATTAGCCAGCTTGTGAGTTATGATGGTGGACATTTTAAGGTCGATTTTTACATTATGCTGTGGAAATGCCCCCCCACCCCCCAGCCACCAGCCTGGGCATTTTTAAGTTGATTTACTGCTGTAAAATTATTTGCCTACATGAAAGATGTGTTGTGGATTTTTGCCAGCTCTAGCGGCAGGTCTTTAAAGCCCTCCACACTAGGTGATCATTACACCTGGGCTTCATGCCTCTCGGCCTGGATAAATAAACCCCGATTAAAAAAATAGGGCTTTTTCTCTATTCTAGATAGCTTACTAAACTTGAAGGAAATGGTGAATATTTTTTGTCCCAGTCTCAAAATTATGTTAATTTTGCCATGGATGTTTAGGGTTCTAAAATTATCATTATTAATTTTAAACATAAACTACCTTTAAGAAAAGCAGATAACCAAACTATTCCAGAAATCATCAAATATTTTTCTTTTCTTAACAAAAAAGGCAGAATTTTAAGCCTTAGTTGGTAGCCTTAGTTGTAGACTGCCTGTATCTTCAAATTTATGTCTTGTTCTTATGTTTTTTTCTACCATGAATTTATTAAAAATTCAGAAATATGTCTGTATTCCCCAAAAATAGCTTTAAGAAAAACAGAATGTTTTACATAATTATTCAAGCAGTTTTGTAAGATTAGCTAAACAAAATTAACTTTCATGAACTTACATATGTTCATCTTCTATATGTTGATTAAATATTTTAAACCTGAAAAGTTTATTAACTTGTGAGTGAATATTTCTAATGTATGCTCTTCTGGGATCTAAAGACCATAGATATTATGAGGATAAAAATGAAAAAGAGGAAAATGAAAAGGTAAAATGTGTATTTGTCCATATTGATCTTAAATATTTTGTTAATGTAAGATATTCCTTAAAAAATTTATCATCCCATGTTTTAATAAGCTTAACTAAAGCATTTCTAGTTGCTTCAGAATATTTTCATTAGAAAAAAAAAGTGGAGGTTTTTTTAAAGAAATCACCCTTTAATGTGAAAGTATTAGATAATACTTAATAGAAACCACATTAGCCCTTCTTCAACAAAATGTCCACTCACTAATTTCCACTTTAGCTGGCCATTCTTTGGCTGAATTTGTAGCTCTTCATTTATACAATTAGGGATAAAATTTAATAAGCACACATCACTGAACCAGTTACAAAGATAGATAAAGGAATCTATAAATTTTGCATTTACAAGATCCTGCAACGAAGGCATTGTAAGTTACTCTTTCTGGGCACCGCAGGTTCCAGCAGCACTGATATTAAGGAAAACCGCAATCTGGACAACGTGACCCCCAAAGATGGCAGTGCCCTGGGGCCTGGGGAGGGCACCCAGCTTTCCAATGGGGGCGGTGGCAGCACCAGCAGGAAGCGGCCCCTGGAGGAGGGTAGCAATGGCCACTCCAAGTTCCGCCTGAAGAAGCGGAGGAGGATGCCAGGGCCTGTGCTGCCCAAGAATGCCCTGATGCAGCTGAATGAGATCAAACCAGGCCTGCAGTACACCCTGCTGTCCCAGACAGGCCCTGTACACGCTCCCCTGTTCATCATGTCAGTAGAGGTCAATGGGCAGGTTTTTGAGGGCTCTGGCCCCACAAAGAAAAAGGCAAAACTGCACGCTGCTGAAAAGGCCCTACGGTCTTTCGTCCAGTTCCCAAACGCCTCTGAAGCCCACTTGGCCATGGGGAGGACCCTCTCAGTCAACACGGACTTCACATCTGACCAGGCTGACTTCCCTGACATGCTCTTCAATGGTTTTGAGACTCCGGACAGGCTGGATGCACCCTTCTACATGGGCTCCAATGGGGACGACTCTTTCAGCTCCAGTGGAGACCTGAGCCTGTCTGCGTCCCCTGTCCCCGCTAGCCTCATCCAGCCACCCCTGCCTGTGCTCCCACCATTCCCACCCCCAAGCGGGAAGAACCCAGTGATGATCCTGAATGAGCTTCGCCCTGGACTGAAGTACGACTTCCTGTCTGAGAGTGGGGAGAGCCATGCCAAGAACTTCGTCATGTCTGTGGTGGTGGACGGCCAGTTCTTCGAAGGCTCAGGGAGGAACAAGAAGCTGGCCAAGGCGCGAGCTGCCCAGTCGGCCCTGGCAGCCATTTTTAACTTGCACTTGGACCAAACACCATCTCGCCAGCCCATCCCCAGCGAGGGGCTTCAGTTGCATTTGCCTCAGGTGAGGACCATGGGCACAGGTGGGCTGAGTTCTTGGGAGCACTTGTAGATAGGCATTATTGCATTGCTGTAGACTCACTCTTCATCTTGCTAGGTCCTCTCTGGGAGTGGTGCCAAGGGCTGCCCTGGTTGCTGTGGGGGGTGGTGAGCACAGGGCTGATTTTTTCCAGGCTTGTAAGAGTGCTGACCTCCAGGCCCAGCACTAAGGCAGGAATGCAAACCCTGTCTCCATCAGGGTCCATAAACACCTATGGCGGGGGCAGCCCCTTGCCTGATTCCCAGCTTACTCAAGTCTGTCCTCAGAGGGTGAAAAAAGAGATGATTTCAAGGTGATCTTCGATTAGCCTGAGTGACGGGGAGAAAAGTATGAAGGAGAAATAAATAACATTTAATTTCGATCTCTCAGTTTTGGAGCTCTTTGATTATTTTTTGCCTTTTTTGTTTAAATCCAAACTTCTTAAGTTCTGCTTAAAAGCTGTTCTCTTAGGGAGGAAATCCAACCCCCTTCTCTGCTCTTTTTTGATAAAATGTTCAATTTGAAGATGAAACATATACTGTGTTTGATCAGTATAAGTAAAGGACTCAAAACTGATAGTGAAGAGAGCCTGTGTTTCTCCTAGAAGAATCAACATGTATGATGGTGTGCCTTGGAGTACAGTTAGGGTAATCTCCATGCAGTTGTCTTCTGTGATGACCAGCAGTTCTCAATTTTAAAAGAAAATTTGTTTTCTTCTGCCCAAAGGAATTAAATACAACTTCAATATAAAGTAACTCAAAGTATTTTACCGATTTTTCTACCAAGTAATTGCTTCTCATGTTAATAAGAATTTATAATTTTTAAATTTGTAATTTTGCCAAGTGGTGGTATAGATCCCAAGTGATTTTTCTATTTTCAAGCTTACTGTTTGCTAAAAATATTTCAGCCTGAATTTAAAATAGGCCTAGACATGATTTGTCCTCCCTTGGTGTCTGATGTGCAAGATTATTGGAATAGCATCGCATGCTGTAATAAAAGCCCTTGTGTAAGTGCCTGTGTTTATAGCATACCTTGGTAGCATCTCAGAGGGGAGCCAGGTAGAAGCCTGGGGTCATGGTGCTTTTGTGACTCTGTTTACCCCAATTCAGTGCAGAATGACTTAATTACCTGAGGGAGGCTAGGATCTTGAAGGCATTTGAAGAACCATTCATTCACTTCTAATGCTTGCATCTAATAAGAAAATACCAGTTTAAGGGCCAACCTTGGCTCAGATTTTTGCTGATTTCTCTGAAAATTTGGAGACGAGCCTAACCTTACATAATAAAGAAGCTTTTCTTTCCTCTGGCTTACCCTTGGTTTCATCCATTGTTTTATATTCTGCATAAAATCAGATGAATTGTCCTTTTTCTGTTGGCCATGTTAGCCCTTACACTGTGCCCTTCCTGTCACCGATGCCTGTGTCCATGGTACAAGTAAGGTTGGGGACCCTTGCCTGACCCCTCTCTGCCAGTCTGGTCTTGAACACTCCCAGAAGCCCATTGGCATTCACTAGCACAGTAGTAGTAGTTCCAAATGAACCATCGGTAGGACTTACTGGTTATTGGTGGAAGTGTTTCATTGAGTGTCCAGCACAGGACATGAGATTTCCCTGATATTGGGCTCATTTCCCAGACAATGTCATATTTGGGGCTGTGGGTTATTGCTTGGCTTATAACCCACTTTCTCCTCAAGTTTTGTTTCCAAAGACTCCCAGGCTCGTGATAGTCAAGATTCATGCAAACCAAAATGGATTGTTAGTGATGAATATGAAGTGGCTCGGTGATCAAATAACATCAGAGCTGACATATTCCAAACACAAGAATTTAACACCTTCCTGTACAACTGCAATCTTTGGTGTTCTAGATTGGCACTCACCCTGGGCAGTAAACAAGCACTATTACAAGTTCGAAACCAGCTTTGGTTTCTGAGTGCACCCAGCCAGGACACATTTGATTAGATGCTGAAATACCAAGGGCACACCTACTCCTTCAGCCTTTGCTGTAAAAAACATAGCAGTTCTTAAATCCTATTACACCTTCAGAAAAAAACTCTCTTTTTTCTTTTGTTTATCACTCGACCTCAGAGTCAGTTCTATAAGCTGAGTGTACTAAGTGTGGGCACGAAAAAGGCAGAAAGGAGCCTGCCCTCCAGTAGCATAGCCCAGGGCCAAGGAACTGCATGGGGATTTCAGGGGGAGACTCAAGTGAGTAAATTATGCCCTCCTCTCTGCACCTCAGTTTTCTCTTTTGAATGCAGAGAAATGATAGCTAAGCCTCACTCCCAGAGCTGCTGGAAAGGTCAGAGAGTTAGCCAGAGTGACACAGGGATCTTGCCACCATGACCTTGGCCTTGGGATCTCTGTGGAAACAACATGGAGAGATTCACAGACTGAGCTTGTAAGATCCATAAGGAAGCATGCACATACTCAGGCATGTTCACACACTCAAACATACACCACTCACAGTCACAAATACACACACACCCCTTACCCACATGCATTGCTAACACATTTGCGTGCACATACAATTACACACTTACACGCACTTAACACGTACATATGCACCTGTCCACACCCCACACACTCATTCCTCATTCTCTTTCACACCCCCATATACTCACACACACCATGTACATGCGTGCACACTCTCACGCATGCCCATCGCCATATTTACACTTGTAGCTCCAGAGGAGAAAGGGCCTGCAAGTGTCACCTTGTGAGAACTGACTTTCAAAGAGAAGGCTAACTGTACTCTGAGGTGTGCACTGTACCCCTAATCCTCCTCTGTGATCCCCAGGTGCTAGCAGATGCTGTTTCACGCCTAGTTCTGGACAAGTTTGGTGATCTGACCGACAATTTCGCATCCCCCCACGCACGTAGAAAAGTTCTTGCTGGAATTGTCATGACAACAGGTAAAAAGGCTAATTTTGTATTTAACCTTCTAATTAACTTTTTAATTTTCATGTTAAAATTTTAATATGAAATGCACTGAACCCATAATTATTGTTATCACTACCAGAGATTATTTTTTCTTTTTTTCAAAGGGAAAAAGGGAAGGAAATGTTTGTTAGATAATAATGAATAAGGGTTGAGTGAAGGTAGTTCAAAATAAACTTAAAAACAAAGTCTCTGCTGTGTAGAGGTATATAGGAGCTATTCTTTCAAACTTTGATCCTAAATGTGTGTCTTTTAAACCTGAGTTTGTTTCACTTAGTGTGCCAATCTTTATTTGGTTTCCAGTTTTAATCATGAGCATAGTCTCAATCTCCTAAGATACAGAATAGAAAACTACAGGAGGTGCTCCTTCTGTTCACCACAGAAGTGTCTATGCTTTGATAAGGCAGGAGAAACATAAGCAGAGCCGAAGTCATGGGTGAAAGCACAGTTTAGGATGAGAGAAGAAACCTTATTCAATTTGTCTGCAAGTTGCCGGTAGATCAGAGACCCTTCCCAGACCCCTTGTCCAACACCCTAGGAATAGTCACCATCAGTAGCAGTGGATAGCTTCTTGGAAATGAGACCACAGCCATAGCTGTCCCAGAGCAGGGCTCAGGAAGAGGGCATCAGCTGCTCCAGGCCGGGTCCTGGTGGCAGGCCTTCCTAGCTGGGCTCAGGCCCAGCCCACCTGGCCAGTGCTTAGACAGCAGCAATGTACACCTGCGAGCAGAAAACAGAGTCCTCGGAGGGACTCTGTAGGCCTTTACCATTGAAGTAATTACCTCTGTCAGACAGTGGGAAGGAAATGATCCTGGGCTTCTCACCATTAGACACCAGAGCATTAATAGCTCAGTGTGTAAGCACTTACTTGCTAACTGCAGGTTGGTGATAGTTGTAAGCTGCCCACTAATTCCACAGGAGAAAGACCTGAGGACCAATTTCCAGAAAGATTATAGCCACCAAAAAACCTTTGGGCTATTTTACTAGAGCAACTAAGTTGGAATTGACTCAGCAACATCCATCAACATGAGCCTCCTATTTGATGCCATAGGAGAAAAATGCGCACTGTTTTAGTCAAGAGCACTTCCTTACCATTGCGTATTTCAGTGGTATAGATGAGATGGATCTGAAGGATGGTCACACTTAATTTGGGTTTCGGGGTTTATGTCAGTGTTTGTACCAACGTGTTCTCTCTCTCTCTCTCTCTCACACACACACACACACTTTACTCCTATCTTTTACATAATTAAAAGGTGACTGCTTCAACTACTAAATGAAGAGGTGAAGAGGTTCCCTCACAGGCACCCTGTGCCACCTGTCTGTGAGTGGACAAGCCACATTTTCTTTTTCAGATTTCCAGACCACCTTTTTGTTATTGTTGTTGTGTGTCACCGAGTTGAAAGTGACCCATTGCTGACCCACCAGCAGGTTTTCAGAGGAAGTAAATCACACAAGAGGGGAGTGTTCATCTTTCTCCCCTGGTGCAGCCGTGGGATTCAAACTGAGTACCTTCCAGACCACCTTAAAACAAGCAAATGCCCACATGGGGAGCATTTCATGTCCTGGTGTGCATCTCACCCATTTGCTCTGAGTTAGAATTTGCCAACGGGGGCTGTACGCAGGGTGACATAGCGTAATGTCAGTGTCAGCGAGCCTGGTTCAAATCTGAGCTAACACTAGGTGAATGACCTTGGGCAGGTAGTCCCTGCTATGTGCCTCAGTTTCCTCATCTATAAGGGGATAATGATAAGGAGTTAATGCCTCAGAGCATTCTGAGGGAATGGAGTGAAAATGATTCACTGGCATACTTAATTAAATGCCCCGCTCATGACAAGCAACCATTAATCCAGCTATTAGCAAATTAGGTCCTCTGTATTCATGATATGTACATCTTGTCTCCAGTAATTGCTGTAGCTCACAAATAAGACATCATAAATATTGCTCTAGAAACTCACCAGTGCTTATGATTTCACATGCAATTGTTCTGTACAATTAAATGGTAACAAATATTGCTAATCAAAATGTTCTGAATTGCATTGTGCTCCTTGCCAATTTGGGTGAGTTTTAGCCACTCACCCTGAATTTCTGTGATGCTTTGATATTTAATTTCAAGGTTGATTACCAGACCAGTTAGTTTAGTGGTAAATGTTCAACATGATTTCTTGCTGGGGGAATATACCTGAGGAATATATACCTGGGGGGAATAATTGCAGAGGCAGCACACAAATAGTGAGGGTTTACTTCCCGAAATGCTGCCGAATGAGTTGTGGGAGTCACTCACTCACCACACAGCAGTTTGCCAGGTGAGAAGTGGTCAGAGTGTGTGTGAAGGTGAGATGGCAGCAGCGTGAATGGTGACTTGAACATTCAGGATGAGACCTCCTCTTGCTAACTTAGGTCTTGAGGACCCAGTTCTCACTCCAGAAACAGGAAAGCACTAACGTGGAGGATGGGAAGTAACTCCTCTTTTCTTTTCTAGGCACAGATGTTAAAGATGCCAGGGTAATAAGTGTTTCTACAGGGACCAAGTGTATTAATGGCGAGTACATGAGTGACCGTGGCCTTGCATTAAATGACTGTCATGCAGAAATAATCTCTCGGAGGTCCTTGTTGAGATTTCTCTACACACAACTTGAGCTTTACCTAAAGTAAGTTGAGTAAGTAAGTAAAGGAACAGGCTGGTTTTTTGGTTTTGCTTTTTTTTAAAAAAAAAAAATAAATATATAAATAATTTTTTCTTTTATATTGTTTTGCTTACAAAGTTCATATACACTGTGTTTCACACTGTCCTTCATTCACATTGTGTTTCATACAATCATTCCCATTTATTGTATTTTATAAAATTAATCAGCATTGAACTATGTCCACCATTACCCTGTCTTTCCAGATGCCTACCGGATTTTTCCCATTTCCTTTAACTACCCCTCCCTCCAGCCTCCAAACTCTATGACCCTATGATTTTCCCCCCACCCATCCTCACCCCTCTCGGTTCCTGCCCCCCTCACCTTGGATCCTCACACACATTTTACTAGTTATCCTTCTATTTCTACAATAATGGTCTTGTGTAGTGTTTGTCCTTATGAGACTGAGTTCACTCAGAATAAGGCTCTCCAGCCAAGTTATAGAATATTTTTCAAAATCATTGCTCTTGAGTGCTTTGTAATAGTCAATCATGTGAATGTTCCACTCTCTCAATCCATTCAGTTGTAGTTGGACATCTGGGCTGTTTCCATGTTCTTGCGATGGTGAATAATACTGCTGTGAACATTAGTATACAAGTTTCCATTTGTGTCGCAGTTCTAATTTTCTCGGGGCTTATTCCAAGCAATGGAATAGCTGGGTCGTGTAGAATTTCTTTGTTCAGCTTTTTGAAGAAATGCCAAACTGCCTTCCAGAGTATTCCATTTTACAATCCCACCAACAATGTATGAGAGTTCCTATCTCTTCACATTCTCTCCAGCATTTATTGCTAGGCAGACTGTTCTATAAAATATTCTATTAAAAATATTGCCAAACCTTACCCTATTACTAGAACTACTGAAAGATTCTCAAAAATCATAACTTTATAAGTAACGAAGTGCTTACCATTCCAGTTTCTAAAAATGCCTAAGCTACTAAACAGAGTGGCAAAAAACAGAACATGAGTTGCTGAGAAAAAGATTGTTGTTGTATTGTTATGTGCCATTGAGTCACTTGTGACTCACAGCAACCCTATGAACAACAGCCCTTTACGCTGCTCTATCCTGTCTCTGACACACTCATCCCAATTTCCCCAGTCACTGATCATCAAGGATCTTCCTCTCTTACACTGTCCCTCTACCCTCCCAAGCATGATGTCACTCTCCAAGGACTGGTCCTACCTTACAACATGTCCAGAGTATGTCAGATGAAGCGTCTGAATCCTTGCCTCCAAGGAGAAGCCTGGCTTCACCCCCTCCAGGACAGACTTGTTGTTCTCCTAGCAGTCTATGGTATATTCAGTACTCTTCTCCAGCACCAGAGCTCAAAGGCATCAATTCTCATCCTTTCATCCCTAGTCATTGTCCGGCTCTCTGATGCATAGCAAGTGATTGCAAAGACTATGGCCTGGATCAGGCACACCTTAGTCTCCAGACTAACATCGTTGCTCTTCAGTACTTTGGAGTCATATACTAGGTATTGGCGAGATGAGATGGACTGGCATGGAGCATTTTGAGTCAAATGATCATATGATCTACTATACTGGAGATGAAAAGGTGAGAAAAATAGGATTGCTTTTATAGTTAAAAAAGTCATTTCTAGATCCACCTTGAAATACAATGTTGTAAGTGACAGGATAATATCCATACACATACAAGAGAACCCAGTGAATACCACTATCATTCAAATATATGCGTCAACAAATAGAGCCAAAGAGGAGGAAATAGAAGATTTCTACAAACTTTTGCAGTCAGAGATTGATTGAACATGCAATCAAGATGCATTAATAATAATGGATGACTAGAATGCAAAAGTTGGGAATCGAAAAGAAGGATCAGTAGTTAAGAAAACATGGACTTGGTGACAGAAATTAAGCTGGAGATAGAATGATAGAATTTGTACAATCAATGCTTTATTTGTTGCAGATACTTTTTGAAAATACTAGTTTATTTACAAAATTCACATACGTCGATTTTGATAACAGATTCTTCCAATTTTCCTCACCACCCATCAAATTGTACAACTCCGTGATTCATCCCTCTACCCACTGCACATCCTCATCCATCTGCTTCCACCCTCTCCCACTCCCCTTGGATCCTCATACTCATTCTCCAGTATTGGTTTTATACAATATTTGTCCTTTTGAGACTGAATTCACTCAGGATAATGCTCTTCAGTCCCTCTCAAGTTAGGTAATAATTTACAAAATTATTGCTCCTGCATGCTGCATAGTATTCCATTGTGTGGGTGTATCATAACTTTTCAGTCCATTTGTTTGTGATTGGACATTTGGGTTGTTTTCATTGTCTTGTGATGGTGAATGATGCTGCTATGAACACTGGTGTACAAACCTCCATTTGTACCTCAGTTCTCATTTTCTCTGGTTATATTCCAAGTAATAGAATAGCTGGGTCATTTAATTTCTATGTTCAGCTTTTTGAGGAAGCACCAAACTGCCTTCCAGAATGGTTGTACCATTGTATAATCCCACCAACAGTGTATAAGGGTTCCTTTCTCGCCACATCCTCTTCAACAGTTATTGCTTGCTCCCCTGTTAAATTTTGCCACTGTTACTGGAGTGAGATGGTAGCTCATGAAGAAATACTCAGAATCATTGGCAATAAGAAAGATGCAAACCAAAGCCACAAATACTTTTTGTAAGAAACGTAAGCACAGGATATTCACATATATTTCACCTGATGGTATGCATAGGAATCAGATCCATTATATCTGTGGAAAGAACTGCTGGAGAACATCATCAGCTGTGAAAACTAGCACAGGTGCTGACAGACCACCTACTACTCATATGCAAGTTCAAGCTGAAGCTAAGAAAAATTAAATCCACAGGAACCAAAATTTGACCTTTAGTCTATCCTGCCTGAATTTCAAAACCCTCTCAGGAACAGGTTTGAAGCCTTGAACACTAATGAGCGAAGACCAGATGAGCTGTGGGAAGATATCAAGAGAAAAGATTACATGGTCATAAATTTTAAGTCTGTGTATAAGATCATGTCCTTTTGTTCATAATAATACATATAAATAGAACTTTTTAGATGCTATATCAATAAGAAATCTTGTTTGGATCTAAATTGCTTTTATCTGTCTCATTTTTTTTTTGCTTCTTAAGTATCTGTTTTGAAATTCATAAGTAAGTATGAAAAATAAAGATTGCTTGCATTTAGATGGCATGTCTGTTATTGAATATAAGTTTTCAAGTTGAAATTCCCTTAACCTTGTTGAAATTACTAAAACCTAGAGTATTCTGAACTTTAGAAATAATTTTAAACAATGAGGAACGAAATTTTGTTGGTACACAGCTTTAAAGATGATCTTCACCACTTCTTTTTTTTTCAGTAGCAGAGAAGATCAGAAAAGATCCATTTTTCAGAAATCAGAGCGAGGAGGTTTTAAGCTGAAGGAGAATGTTCAGTTCCATCTGTATATAAGCACCTCTCCCTGTGGGGACGCCAGAATTTTCTCACCACACGAACCAATACTGGAAGGTATGAGACTAGGTTCTTCAACTATTGACACAGTTTCCCAAGAAAAGTCATGGTACTGTCTTTCATAGCCCTCTAGTGGGTTTTCAGAGGCTGTAAACCCTACAGGAGGAGATGGTTCTTTCTCTCCTGGAGCAGCTGGTAGATTAAAACTGTGTGCCTTTGGGGTGACAATGCAGCTCCTTACCATTAGGCCGCCAGAGGTCATACTTGTAAATATATATATGTAGCAATCACAAAGGCACATGGTTCAAATCCACCAGCTTCTCTGCAGGAAAATGATGGGCAATCTCCTCCTGTGTGATTCCTGCCTCTGGAAACTCACCAGAGGGTCAACTATGGTTCATTGCCATCTTAATGGCCAGCAACAGTGGCATTTAGTTTAACACGTCGCCGCACACTTTTAAATTGACGACTGTGCTTAGAAACACATTTTTTTTTCTATGTATTACCGTAGTTTACAGCAACGTATTAAGTGTATTCATGTATATCTGCAAACTTTTAAATCATGGTATATTCAAGTATGCAGTTCAATAAAGAAGTGATTTACTCTTTGTATGTTTTAAAAACCTGTTTGTTGCATAGAACCAGCAGACAGACACCCAAATCGTAAAGCAAGGGGCCAACTACGGACAAAAATAGAGTCTGGCGAGGGGACAATCCCAGTACGGTCGAATGCAAGCATCCAGACGTGGGATGGAGTGCTGCAGGGGGAGAGACTGCTCACCATGTCTTGCAGTGACAAGATTGCTCGGTAAGTTGTCCACCAGACACTCTGTGGATTCTTTTAAAGATTGATCTGCTTCTGGGTTCTCCAGTCTCGGTCTGTAGAAAGCTGTCATCACCCAGTTCCATCGCTTTTCAAGTTTTTTCCTACCTTTTCATGACTCTTTCTTTTTCCCCAGATGTTTTGTAGTTAGCTTGTCAAATCATATGATATTTTATATGGAATTGTACTGAAATTATGGCTTGGGATGGAAAGAATTGAAATAAGTTCTCTCCTTGCCACTGTTCCATCAAGAGGTGAGGTCCATGTCCCTTCCCACAGGCAGTTCATGCTTCATGCCTGGGGCTTATTGAGAAGTTTTGAGCGTGAGATACCATGAGGAAAGGGGATTGAGAAGCAGAAAGCTCCAGACATGAGGAATCCCATCTGTAAAGTGGAAGAAAGAAAAGAAGAATTACCAATGTCAGAAATGAGAAAGGAGAGATCACCACAAATATGAAAGATAGTTTAAGGATATTGTAAAAAATTATGTATATATGCCATAAATTACACAAATTAAGCAAATTTCCTGAAAGTCACAGTCAAAGCAGTTTGTGATAAAAGCAGTACATTTCTTGAAAAGCACGTACATTTACTGAAGAAATTGAATTTGTAACTTAAAACTTTCCCGGGGAAAAACCCCCAGATTTAGATAGCTTCATTTGTGGATTCTTCCCTACATTTTAAGAAAGACTTCATTTAATACCAATTTTTCAGAAATTTGAAGAGGAAAATATATTTACCATCTCATACTATGAACTAGCATTTCCAATATCACAAAATTAGAAAGCACTAGGGAGCTCTGGTGGCAGGAAGCTGCACTGCAATCCCAGAGGTGTGCAGTTCAAATCCACCAGATGCTCTGCTGGAGTAGGAAGGACAGTCTCCTCCTGTACCAGTCAGATCTGATTTTATGGTAAACACACAGAATAATAAAATTTTAAAAAGAAAGCATTAAAAGAGAATAAAACTATGACTACCAAGTATATTCTTAGATATAGATCTAAATGTTCCAACAAAAATTTAGCAAACCAAGACTATTATGACCAAGTAGGGATTATCACAGGAAAAGAAGGTTGGTTGTATAGTCACAAGTCAATCAGTGTAGTTTCTCATATTCATCACCAAAAAAAGAGAAAAGCATTAGGCAAAAAGCATGATATTCCTAATGGAAACCCTCAGCAATAGTAGGAAGTCTCAGTCAAATAAAGTATATCACATGCTTCATGGTGACAGACTGAACACTGTCCTCATTAAGATTAGGACAAAACAGAAATGTTCTACCACTTACATTTAACATTGTGTTCAAGGTTCTAGAAGTGTAATAAGGTTCAAAGAAATTAGAGGCACTCAGATTCAGATTGGAAAAGACAAAGTGAAATTGTCCTTGTTTACAGACTAAATTGCTTCTGAAAAACGATTGGATTGTACAACCAACCTATTAGAACTATGAATGAGTTTAGCAGCATTTCAGGATGTGTGATCCAGTAACAAAAATCAACTACAGTCAAAGGCTCTCTGTTCAAACCCGCCAGACGCCCCACTGAAGGAGGGGCTATCTCCTCCTGTGCCTGTCAAATCTGATTAGACAATACACACCAAGACAAAAAAACCATAGTGAATGTAAATTATTCTCTATGTGAATGAAGGATAGTGTAAAACAAAGGTATATGAACTTTATAAGCAAATCAATATAAAATAAAAATTTTTTAAAAGAACCCCCCAAAAAACTTATCTATAGTTATGTATTTGTAGCAATTAAAATTAAAGTATATAAAGTATTACACTAAAATCTATAAAGACATCAAAATATATAAAACGGCGCAGAATATTGCCAAGAGAACGAAGTCCTATGTGAGAAATATATTACGCTCATTCATGAGGAAACTCAACGTTGTTACAGTGCCACTTTTCTTCAAATTGATCTATAGCTTCAGTACAGTCCCGAAGACCAGCAGACTTCTCAGAGAAATTAATAAACCAATCTGAAATTCATATGGAAATGAAAAATATCTAGAATAGCCAAAACAACATTTAAAGAAAAAACACAACGGAATTGAAAGACTAGCACTGTCTGATTTAAAAATATTACAGAGCTGTAGTAATTAAGTAGCTTTGTAGTAAAGATAAATAAAATTTGCCAAGTAGAGTGTCCAGGTAAATACACATGTATCTATAAGTGAGTTTTAGCCCAGGTGCAAAGGCATTTCAGTAGACCAAGAGTTGTCTTTTCAACAAATGTTTAAGGCCAATTTTTCAATCCATACTTTGTACCATAAAAAAAATTCACCTCAAAATGTGTCATAGGCTTAAATGTATAAAAATTGTAGACAGAAAGAGAAAAATCATTGGAACATTGAGTTATTCATAGATTTTTTTTTCCTAATAGAACACCAAAAACACTGTCCATAAGAGAAAAAAAATCAATAAAAAGTAAAACTTCTCTTGAAGTGACTCTTAAAAGTGAGAAGACAAGTCATAAGCTAGAGAAAATATATGCTAATCATGTATGTAATAAAGGACTGGTATCCACAATATATGTTGTTGCTGTTGAAATGTGCCATTGAGTCGCTTGTGACACATAGTGATCCTATGTACAACAGCCCTAAAACTGGCTCTCTCATCTGCCAACATTATTGTCTCTGACACACCTATTCCCATTACCCCAGTCACTGACTTGATCCTTCTCATCACGGGTCTTCCTCTCCTGAGCTGTCCCTCCACCCTCCCAAGCATGATGTCCCTCTCCAAGAACCTTGCAACATTCCCAAAGTACAATATATGTAGACTCTGAAAAGTTAATAGAGGGAGGAAATCAACCTAAAAATGGGCAAAATATTTCAAAAGACACTTGATATATGGATACATAGATAGATAAGGATATATGAATATTAAATACACACCTGCAAGGATGCTCATAATCTTTGGTCATTAAACAGAACCATTTACCATAGAGTTGATTATGACTCTTGATACCCCATCCATGTCAGGTACAGCTGTGCCCCATAAGGGCCTTCATCACAGAGTTTTTGGAAGTACAGCTTACACCTTTCTATAGAGGCACATCTGAATGAACTCAAATAGCCAGCGTTTTCATTGACTACTAGTTCCATTAGCTGTTTGTACCACCCAGAAATTTCATTAATCGTTTGTTGTTGTTGTGTGCTGTGGAATTTATTCCAACTCATAGTAACTCTATCTGAAAGTAAAAATTCCCCACAAGATTTTCTAGGCAGAAATTTTTACAAGAGGAAATTTGGGTCTCTCATCCCACAGAGCCTCGCTCAGTACACTCACTCATGGAGTCAAGCCTGAGTTGTGAAAACCTTCCATTAGCTTCCAGCGCTATAAATCTTGCTAGGAGTAGGCTGCGCATCTCTCTCCTGTGAGGCCCATGATGAATTTGAGCCACCAGAGAGCCTCTACCTTGCGGTTAGAGGTGCAGCACTTCAGATCATGCCACCGGAGCACCTTTCAAACTGACCCACCTATTAGCGTCAGAGCAACTTTTGTGCCACCAGAGCTGTTGATCCTATAAGGTGGTGGTGGTGGTGGTGGTGGTGGTGTGTACCATAGAGTCAGAACCGATCCATAGCTGACCATCTGGTGGGTGTTCAGAGACAGTTAATCACATGAGAGGAGATTGCCCATCCTTCTCCCATTAAGGTGCTGTTAGGGGCCATCAAGTCAGTTCTGACAACTTGTGATCCTGTGTACAAACAAAGCACTGCCTGGTTGGTGTCACCCTCCCAGTCCTCAGGTTTGAGCCCATTGTGGCCCCTGTGCCAGCTCATCTCACTGAGGATCTGCCTCTTTTTTGGTGACATTACCAAGCATGATGGCCTCCTCCAGGGACCAGTCTCTTGATGACATGTCCAAAATGCATGGAACAATCCTTGTTTCTAAGAAGCATTCTGGCTGTTCTTCTAAGATAAATTTGTTCATTCATTGGCATTTTATGATATAATTAATGCTGATAATAATAGTAATATCCTGAAAAGTTGCACTTGAAAATCCTCAGGAACTATAATGCCTTTATTATGTAGGACCTGGGGCAAAACTTCAGATTGTCTGCAGAGGAGTAGAGGCCACACCCCTGGAAGTTGGGGATATGATTTCCAGTCATGTATATTTAACAAGTCAGTCAATTGCGAGTAGGCACTGGCGTCCTAGTCAGTACTAGGTAAGAAGCCAATGAAAGGCTTTGAACACATTGGTTTGGAGGCTTCCTGGACTGTCCAGAGCTGCTCTAGAGGGTGATGTGTCTGTACCACAGTTAACAAAGACATTTATGTAGACACTTTTCCTTGCCATTTTCAACTGCCAAGTCAATTTATTCTTTTCCGTGATTCTCTTTCTTAATTGCTTAAAGTTTCTAGGAAATAAACAATACAGCTATGTAATTAAAAGAGTTTGACGTTCTGCTGCTAAGTCTGAGGGAACGTGTTTTTCAAGAATGTGCTTCCTTTTCCCCAGGTGGAACGTGGTGGGCATCCAGGGGTCCTTGCTCAGCATTTTTGTGGAGCCAATTTATTTCTCAAGCATCATCTTGGGCAGTCTGTACCACGGGGACCACCTCTCTAGGGCCATGTACCAGCGCATCTCAAACATAGAGGACCTGCCCCCGCTGTACATGCTCAACAAGCCTCTGCTGAGTGGCAAGTATCTTAGAATGTACTGTTTCAAATTCCCTCGCATAACTATGTTGTGTTTGCGCGCAAGTCCTTACAAATTAAAAAAAAGAGAGAAAGAGAGAGACATTGCTCCATGGCTGTTAGAGAAACAGAAGTCTTTCTAACGGGATAAAAGTGGTGTTTCCTGGCCCTCTAAGCCATTTACCCCTAAAACCTGGAAGTGGTTCTCTATAGATTAGAAACCTTGTCATTTGTGGGTGAGCAGAATTGCAGCCTCAGCTCCGCACCACCATGCCTTTCCACCACTCCACACAGTGGATTTGAGTCTCTCAGCAACCTCTCTAATAGCAGAAACACTTCTCAGAGGGATCACAGGAGCACTGACCTTCCAAACCAGCGTTCAATGGGCCTTTCCAGCTGTGCTGGTCCTCCTTCAGCCCCTGAGGTGATTGTCAGTGATGTCACTACAGGGTGACCTTCTTTGGACACCATCATCATGATACCCACAACTTCTGGAGCTCAATGCCCAGCCCCCTTGAGTGTGACACAGGTTTCATAAATCTGCGGGAGGTCGTGTTTAATGTGTAGCTCCTGTCCTGGTGGGATCTTGCTCCCACCTTTAAGACCTATGTTACTCTTTCTTTTTAGAATTTCAGTGGCTAGCAGTAAAGTGAACAAGAACTTTTGAATTCAAGGGTCCTATCTTCTAAGCTTTCTTTTATTAAAAAGGACACTGTTAAGGTATTTTTTTTTCTCTCTGAAAATACTTTTTTACTCACCTTTTTGAAGCTCCTAACTAAAATCCTAACTCTGAACTAAAATGCAGTCCTTTTTGTGTGCTTTGTGAGGGTATGTGTTCCATTTTATCTGATAGTGCTTGGCTACTAGCAGCATGTCTGCTTTGAGGAAAAAGTGTGGAATGTTATCTGAAAAACATGAGTTAAGTGGGTGTGGAAAAAGAGAAACTCTGTCAAATCAAGCCTATAGTACCCTAACTTTACCATTGTCTTTAAGAAATTATGGTACATTCACATGATGGAATACTACACAGCATGCAGGAGCATTGATTTTTAAAATCACTAACTGGGGAGGGACTGGAGCGCATTATGCTAAGTGAACTAACTCAGTCCCATAAGGACAAATACTATATAAGACCGTTACTGTAGAAATAGAAAGATAACTGGTAAAACGGATATGAGGATCTAAGGTGGGGAGGTTTGGAGCAGAAGGGTGAAGATGGGTAGAAGGATAATCACAGGGTCACACAATTTAATGGGTTGACAGAGGGCTGAGTAAAGGAAATGGAAAAGATCCAGTGTTTAAAACAAAGTATACAAACTTTGTAAGTAAACCAGTATAAAATAAAAATTTTACTTAAAAAGAAAAACAAAATAGACTGGTAATACTTGATGGTCATTCAAATGAAACTATAACATGGCAAGCTTATTGAACTTCCACGAACAGGAGATAAAATGTGAGTATTTTATTTTTCATTGCTGTGTATGACTTTTTATGAGTTAGAAAGTCATTTTTCCTATTTATTTTCTAAATTTTATATTTGAAGGAAGAATGCTCTGGTCCATTTTAGCTGTCATTTGTCTTTAAAGTCCCTAGATACTTAATGTTGTATTTGAAGTATATGACAATGTTGTTGTTAGGTGCCATCAACTCGAGTATAAGCTAAAGGGTCCCTATGAACAACAGATCTGAACCCTGTCCTATCCTGTGCCATCCTCACAATCTCTGACACACTCAGACCCATTACTGAAGTCACTGTGTCAGTCTACCAGGTTGAAAGTCTTCCTCTTCTTTGCCATCCATCCCTCCACCTTTCAAGCATGTCCTCCAAGGAATAGCCTCCCTTAGCAACATAACCAAAGTATGTGAGACAAAGCTTCACCATCCTTGCCTCCAGGGAGCACTCTGGCTGCCGCTTCTCCAGCATGCATAGCAGTGTTGTTGTTAGGTGCCGTCGAGTTGAGTATGACTCATAGCAACCCTATAAGCAATAATTCTGAACCTTGTCCTATCCTATGCCATCCTTACTGTCTCTGACACCCTCCAGCTCATTGCTGCAGTCGTTGTATCAATTTACCTGGTTGAGGATCTTTCTTTCCTTCATTATCTCTATTATGGCTGTGTGTTGTTGTTGTTGTTGTTAGGTGCCATCGGGTCAAGTATGACTTGTAGAGACTATGAACAAAAGATTTAAACCCTGTTCTATCCTGCACCATTCTCACACTTCCTGACACACAAGAGCCTATTGCAGCAATCACTGTGTCTATCCCGCTAGTGAAGGGTCTTCATCTCTTTTGCCAACCCACCCCCCTTCCCAGGATCATGATCTTCTCCAAGGAATAATCCCTCCTAGCAACATGCCCAAAGTATGTGAGGTGAAGCCTCATAATTCTTGCCTCCAAAGAGCACTCTCACTGTTCCCTCTCCAAGATATATCTGTTCATTCTCTTGGCCATTCAGTGCTCTTCTCCAACACCACAGATCCAAGGCATCAATTCTTTTTCTGTCATCCTGATTCATTGTCTAGCTCTCAGATGCATAGCAACTAATCAGAAATACCATGGCCTGAATCAGATGCATCTTAGACCTCAAACTGACATCATTACTCCTCAATAATTTGGAAAGGTCCCTAACCGCAGATTTTCCCAGTGCAATGCCTTTCCTTAATTCCCAGTATTACTATGACTTTAGGAGATGCTAAAAAAATAATAGATAGGACTTTGTTTAATGGAATCTGAAAAAGATAAAATCATTTTGCTAAAACAATATTTTTAAACAGCTCAGTTCAAACAGACTTCATTGCTTTTAACATTTTGGAGAAGTTCTTAACATTTTCCCAGTGCAGCATCTTTTTTTTATTTCTTGACTGTTAACTACCATAAGTGTTGATTATGGATCCCATTAAACAGAAATTGTTGACAACTTCATTATTTTCTGTATCTGTCATGATATTGCCTATTGTTCTATGGCAAGGACTTTTGTTTTCTTCATATTGAGATATAATCTCTATGAGCTGTAGTCTTTGATCATGTGCAGTAAGCGCTTAAAGTACTCTTCACATTTTGCAAAGTTGTGTCATCTGAATAATGCAGGTTATTGATGAGTCTTCTTTCAATCCTGATGCCACATTTCTCCTCATAAAGTCCAGATTCTCACACCAGCATCCAAGAAATTAAAAGACATATTGCATTCAGAAAGTCTGCTATCAGAGACCTCTTTTAAAGTATTGAAGAGTAGTGATATCAGTTTGGAAACTGAGGTGTGCCTGATACAGGCCATGGTCTTTGCAATCATTTGCTCTGCATCAGAGAGCTGAACAGTGATTAGGGATGATGGAGAATTGATGCCTTTGAGCTGTGGTGTTGGAGAAGAGTATTGCGTATATATCATAGACTGCTAAGTGAACAAATAGGTTCATACTGGAGAGGGTGAAACCAGGCTGCTCCTTGGAAGCAAGGATTATGAAACTTCATTTGACATACTTTGGACATGATGCAAGGAGGGACCAGTCCTTGGAGAGGGACGTCATGCTTGGGAGGGTGGAGGGACAGTGCAGGAGAGGAAGACCCTTGATGAGATGAATTGATTCAGTGACTGGGGTAATGGAGATAAAGTGTTGGAGACAGTGAGATTGGCACAGGGTAGAGCAGGGTTTAGGGCTGTTGTACATAGGGTCACTATGAGTCGCAGATGACTTGACATAACAACAACAACAAAAATTAAAAACCCGTACAGGTTGAATAGATATGGAGAAAGGATACACCCTGACACATACCATTTCTGACTTTAAACTATGCAGTGTTCCCTTGCTCTGTTTGGACAGTGACTCCTTGGTCTATGTATAGGTCTCATATGAGCACAATTAACTGTTCTGGGATTTTCATTCTTCTCGATGTTAGCCATAAGCTGTTGTGATTTACGCAGTCAGATGTCTTTGCATAGTCAATAAAACACAAGTAAGCATTTTTTAATATTCTCTGCTTTCAGCCAAGATCCATCTGATACCAACAGTGATCCCTTGTGCCACTGCCTCTTCTGAATCCAGCTTGAATTTCTGAAAGTTCCCTATAAATCTGCTGTTCCAGCCATTTTTAATAATCTTTAACAAGATATTACAATATTACTTGCATGTGATAGTAATGTTGTTGTAATTATATATGTAGTATAATTTTATATATATGTAGTTATATGCCATCTTGTCACAACCGACCTTCCGGCAGTTTTTAGAGGCTGTAAATCACACAGGAGGAAATTGCCCATCTTCCTTGGAGCAACTGGTGGATTCAAACCATTTGCCTTTGTGTTGGTAGCATAACTCCTTATTGCTAAGCATACCAGAGCTCCTGATAATAATGATGTTGTTTGATAACGTCCACATTCTGGACCACCTTTTTTGTTTCTGTGAACAAAGTTCTTGGCATAGACTAGTGAGCACACCCAGGGTTACATCTGTTGTTGAAAAATGTCAACTGATGTTCCGTTATTTCCTGGGTATTTTTGCCAGTACCTTCAGTACAGCCTGAACCTATTGATCTTCAATAAATGTCAATGAACTTCCTTAATTACCATTGGTTATTGGTCATATTCTACTTCCTGAAATGGTTCATTGTCAATTAGTTATTGAAATACAATTGAGTTTCAAGCTAAAGGAATAATACTGAAAGTAGAGCTCATTTGTAATTGTCAGATCTTTCTCTGTTGTATGACCTGTAGGTGAAGTGCACGTATGATGAGAAAAATATACGACAAGATAGACTTTTTACAAGTTGTTGTTAAATTCTGTCGAGTGGAGCACAACTCATACTGACCCTATGAACAAAAGGTCTAAACCCTTTACTATAACTATCGTCATTTCTCTATGTTCATAGAGTTTCAAGAGGCATGTGGTTTACGAAGCGGGTGCCACTCCTGCTTCCAAACCTGAGTCAATCTGGGAGCTGCACCACTGTCCGCGATGGGTAACCATTATGGCATTTGACACGCCAGTGGCACAGCATTCAACACCA